AGGCAAATTCTTTTCCCCCAGCAGTAGGTGGCCATTTCTTTCTCTGGTAGATGAGTTGCCATCCAAGGCTATAGAAAACGGTCTGTCCTGCTATTTACCCATAGCTGGGGGGAGAAGAGCAGGATTCATACCTTTCACAACTGGATTAAATGCACAATCGACTATGTGAAATACATCCCGGCCTGGGTAATCGACGAGGTTCAATTCTACTTCATGGCAGTTCTCGACCAAATGTTGGCAGGATGATACAGCAGAAGTTTACGAACTTGGGATACGAGACAATGTCACATCTGATATATTCTCCTGATCTCTTTCCCAAATAACTATCACTTTTTAAAGCTTTTTGAACTTTTCTAAGCCAAAAGGCATTCCATTGCAAAGAAGACGCAGAAACAACACTCAAAAATTTCTAGGCGTCCAAACCATTAAAATTTTATCCTGAAGGCATAAAGCCGATGTCAAAAATGTATGGAGGTTCAAGGTTCTTATTTTGAAAAGATTTAGACACATTAATTTGGAAAAAAGTTGATTCAGATCCATTATTTTCCAAATTGAACAACTTTACTGTTCTAAGAAATGAAAATTTGTGATTGGCGTTCCGGTCAATGGAAACGTGGGATTGGTGTTCCGATTATCCGTTAAAGGATTTAGACACTTTGGGGGATTGATATTCTCAAGGTCGAATTTATCGCGAAAAGTTTTCATTTTACTTAACAAAAACTGTGATTAAAATGTTGGAGTTCAAGTTGGTGTTCTTTGGAAAAACAAATATTCTTGTTCCGGTTATTGGAAGGTGGGATTTGTTCGGTTATCGAAAAAATTGAATTGGCCTTGGTTATTCCTGACTTTCAGTCCTTTGAAAACAGCGTTCCAGGGTTTACCAGCATTATTATCCGAAAGGTGGGATTGATATTCCGGTTATCGGAAAAGTTCCACTTAACAAAAAACTGTGATTAGCATGTTGAGTTCAAATTCCAATCGAGATTGCTGTTATCTCTTTGGCACAAATATTCTTGTCGTGGTAAGAATAAAATCCTCCTTTCAAAACCAGCATTGCAGAATGGTGGGGCTAGCCAGTTTTGGAGAACAACGACTTACGGTTAGGGGCCAGTAACTTCAGCCCGCCAAAAACCTGTTCGTTATGGAAACTGCAATAGCAGTAACTAGCATGGTGAAGCTGCTGCTCTAGTCTAGTGAAGCTGTGGTCTTATACTCCACAGAGAGGCCTGCAGTGTTAGCATATATACATGTATATCCTCAAGTATTAAAACAAAGATTTTTTTGATCAATGAACATTGTCGCGCTGATCTCAGCGGACGTAGTTGAATCATAATTCGACAGGATAAACAAATCAAATACCTTTATTTAATTTTCGAAATCGCTTCACCTGAGAATCGTCAGGCATTCTGAAAACAAATAAAAAGTGGCTGAAATATCTGATGCTAGAGAGACAGGTACTGATGTTCTAAGAGTAGCTTAGATATGGCACAAGGCTGAAAGTATGGTGCACCCACTGAGAATCGAACTCACAATCCGGTTGTAACTAGCGAGACAAGCTTTCTAACCATTACACCTAACCAAGGTGCCCTAGATATAGGGCGGGCAGTAAGCGAAAACTGGAAAACAATAACAAAAACGAGATATATATAGACATGGACAGCCGTATGAGAACCGTCTACCACCATAAATTTAATAAAGGGTTAAATTCCCTGAAGGTTAACCCAATTGAAATGCACTTGATGAAGGCCAGAGAGCACAGCGGCCGACGTAATAATAATCTGCAATAATAACAACAAACATTAGGACAATGGTCCAAGTGAAAATAAAACTTGAAAAATTTCGTATTGCATCATCAAATTCTTTCACATCCAATTAAATAGTTATTACAGAATTAAGCTAGGGAAGTAAGAGCAATGTCAGTGGGCAACAATATGAAAATCCTAAGTTTCGTTTACATATATCAAGTTTTAATAGAGTCGACGTTAAAAAAAAAAGAAAGAAATATCATTACTTTTGTCCCTTTGTTGCAAAAACTTTAGCGTCGCGACTCAGTGTAATTTATTAGATCGGATGAAAGTAATATCGTACTTGTTTAATAAATTCTACTTGTCATTGTAAGTTGCGTAAACGGCTCGCATAGACGTGGAAGACAACAGGAGAAAAGCCTTTAAATTGATACGCATTTAATTCTGTATTATTCACCATCCGTTGTTGTTGGCGTGACACACGCGTAAGAAGACGGAGGTACACCATACGCCGCCATTACCGGATGCAATGACAAGGATTCAAAGTTTAGTCGGCCGTGAGCAGAGAAAACGTTCACGGGGATGGCGGTGGCAGCAGTGGCGGTGGTGGCTTTAGGAAGAGATCGAAAGTAAGGAATAAATCTGCAAGTGTAAGTAAGATAATGAATCATAATTTCGCGTAGCATATTTCTTGGCGCTCCACTTCGAAGACATTTCCAAATAACGGCCATGTTGAATTTATGCTTCTGAAAATC